AAGGCCTGGCGCGATATGGTTCATGGGGTCACAAAGAGTTGGACACGACTTAACAACTGAATAACAACAACAAAAATGATTCATCATAATGCTGTCATTTTTCTTGATACTATAGAGGGTTATTCCAATGTTGCATTTTCCTTTCCTTGCTGTCAATTTCTCACTATATCCCTGGGGATATAATACACAAGGGAAGCAGCATCTCACCAGATATATTTAGTATAACCAACAGCTTAGTGGCACATTGATTTCAGCTAACGCATTTATGCAAATTACTATTGAGAAGTAATGGTTATATCCATAGATTTCAAGACTGGGTTATATCAACTTTCTCTACACAGCTGCATCCTTAAAGACTGTTTCTCCTGGTGTTCAAAGGTATAAAACCAGCCGAAGACATTCTGTTTGGTTACATGCCGTCCTGATTTTGTTGAATCATTTAATTGGCTAAACATATGCCATCTTCAGCTAGAACTTTATTTAAAAGGACTGATTAATTCATTTCAGTAAAAGAAATTCCTTTGTTGGAAAACAGGATAAGTGTGTGCTTTGAATCTAGTTTCTCTAATATATAGCAAACTATTTTTGGTCAAGCTTCTGTTTGCAGAAGGAATCTGCTTTCCACAGAAGAGGCAGCCTCCATGAGTCAAGGCTCTTTGAGCTTCAAAGCTTCTCTGTTCAGGTTAATTCCACAGGAACTGGCATCCTGTTGAAAATGTTTTATATGTTGTTAGGAAAATAAAATGTCCCTTGTACGTCAGTATTCAGTATTCCTACAGAATCATCTTTCCTTTCTGCTTTTTTCTCTAGTTTGACCTCAACAACACGAGCAAGCTCTGAAGCACTGAGAGGGATATATGCAACACCTGAAACTGAAGTGAGTCAGCATTTCCCTTTGTCACACAGCCCAACTGCTGTAGCCAAAAGCAAATGGTTTCTTGGTGAAAGTTCCATGTCTAGTCGTTTCTCCCTTTCCCTTCCACTGTTTCTCCATTTTCCGATTAGCTTTTAAGAGATGCCCAAGTTGAATCAGAGCAGATTCCTATTATGTTCCAAAATTACAGGCTATTGAATTACCACTCTAATATAGAAACTTCACCAAGCAGGCTGGGCTGAGGTTAACTGGAAAAGACCTCATCTGATTAGATCAGTGTTTCTCAACCTCGGCCACTTTAAGACATGTGGACTTCAACAGTTGAAGTCCACATGTCTTAAAGTGGTTGAGGTTGAGAAACGCTGGATTAGATGGTTTTTTTCTTGGGCCTTGTCATCTTGTTGGCACGATGCCCCTCTTCTCCCTCCCCTAATAAAACAGAAGTCTGCACAGTGAAGTTCCACATTAGAGTGGTAATGTTTGTCTACAAATGCAAATACGTAGTTTGGCCAGATTTCATGTTTAGTTATTGTACAAGTGATCCCTAGTTTGATATGTGGTAGCAAATAACTATAAAGATGAGATTACAGTGTTGTGTTCTTTCAGGAAAGAGTTTGGACTCAGAGATTTATGTACCAACTTAAGAAACGTTCATACAGAGAGTTGGGTATTTTCATGTTTTATCATTATACTTCCTAAATATTTTGTTCATTTGCTGTATTATTGTCCATTGAACCGCATCTAACAATTGAACAGTTTCACAAATTATGAAAACTGGGAAGTGTGTGGGAGAGAATTCTAAATATCATGTGGTTGAAGCAGACTGTTTGCTTAGAAGAAAAAAACGATGGAATAAAGAGAGAGATGGAAAATATATTTTATATTAGGGTGTATCTATAGATACTGATTGCATTAGTGGTTCATAATCCCTTATTTCTTGTGTGGAGTCACATGTGTAGAAGGAAGAAATAAATGCAGCATTATAATTTGAAGGAGGTCAAACCACAATATTCAGGGTTATAACATCATACCTGTGCTGCTTCATATTTCCAGTGCAAATCAAACATACCAGCTTTCTCCATCTTGGTCTGGCTAGCATAAACTCAAATACAAACACAATTCAGTTTTTAGTATGTGCTGCTGCCACCTTGTTTGAGCTAACAGAAGATCTAAAACCTATTTTATGTTAGAATCCCACTACTTGGGCCTTTCTGCAGGTGCTACTGAAGTGTGAGCACCCAAAGAGATATTTCAAAGAGACTTCAGTGTCTAGTGTAGGGCATTGGGTATTAATCTATTGTAATACTTGCCATATTGTTGCTGTTGTCATTATCCTTTCCATCTTGTTTGGACCAGCAGCAGCATCAAAGTTGGGACATGTGGTTCCACACGTTTGCCACTTCCCAACAGTGCTGCCAGGAAGCAAGTTCTTGTGCTAAGCAAGGGCCAACACAGATGGATGCTGTCTGGGACGATAGTCCGAGCTGCACGGGAGAGCTCAGAAATGTAGCACTAAAGTGTACCATAATAGCATTATTTTTAGATCATTTGCTCTTAAAGAGCACTACAAGAACCATTGTAGGGAAACATAAAGAAAAGACTAGCAGCAGGCAACTAATTGTAGGTCTCATTCTTCCTTGTGACAGAAGCTCTTTTGTCTCCTGATTAGAAATGTAAACATAATTCTCCAGCTGCTTCTGTTAAATAGAGAGGTTTTCTTGCATCTGAACTTGACTGTTAGTCACATTGTGAAGTGCTGTTCATATGGATGGCAACATTGCTAATTGCATCTTGCAAGGATTTCCAAGACCAGAATATCTGCTAAACATAACTCTTTACATTGCTGTTTTGGTTTTCATACTTATTTGGAAGGTCATAAGTAGAGATCAACAGTATTAAGTATGTCCATTTACAGAATTTACTTTCTTGCTTTAATGAACATTTATCAGAATTGAGGCATATTCCTTTGCTTTTAAAAATATTTTATACAGCTTTTTAAAAAAATTACAATTAAGTTTTCTTTAAAATGTTACTTATTAATATGTATATTAATATGAACACATAAACCATATAGTTAACTAACTACAGGTAGTCCTCACTTACTGACCACTCATTCAAAATTACAACAGCACTCAATGGTGGGGGGAAGTTGCAGCTGTTGCAGTCTCCCCACAGTCATGTGATCGTGATTCAGGCACTTAGCAACCAGCTGACACTTAACAATGATTACAGAATCCTGCAGTCATGTAATCACTGTCTGTGACCTTCCCTGCCAGCTTCCCCCAAGCAAAGTCAATGGGGAAGCCAGCAGGGAGGGTTGCAAGTTGCTCTGGGAAGTTGCTCCCACTCCTGCCACTTTTTCTCCCAAGGAACCCCCAGGCAGCAGAGCAAGCAGGTGGCCAGTTGCACTTAACGTGTGCCGTGCATCCCTGCCCCAACCACACTCACACTGCGCACTCCTGGTCCTGCCACACTCACATCGCTCACCTGCCCAGCCCCGCTGCATTTGCACCCTACCATCCTGCACACTCTCGGCCTTGTCCCACTCATGCTGAGCAGTCTAGCCCCACCACACTCACTCCCCTCTCCACCAGGTCACACTGTAGCACTCACCTGCCCATCAGCCTGCTTGCGAGCCACCTAAGGAAAGGCTTGTCGTGACCGGGACTTGCAACTTCCGGCCAGCTTCCCCATTGACTTTGCTTGTTGGAAGCTGGCAGGAAGTTGCAAGTCCCGGTCACGACAAGCCTTTCCTTAGGTGGCTCGCAAGCAGGCTGATGGGCAGGTGAGTGCTACAGTGTGACCTGGTGGAGAGGGGAGTGAGTGTGGTGGGGCTAGACTGCTCAGCATGAGTGGGACAAGGCCGAGAGTGTGCAGGATGGTAGGGTGCAAATGCAGCGG